GGATTAGATGTGTCTCTATCATGTGATCTAGAAGCTCACAAACCAACTCATGCCTCCTGGGGGAACAGTGGGATGGGAAAGACCTTGTCTCCCCTCTCCATCCCAAAGGTATCCAGATGCTGGGACATGGGGAGAGAAACCCACAGAAAGAGAGATGAAAATGTCGACAAATGGAGCGAGAGAGTCATTTTGTCCAAAGATATCAAGTCTCACGGGGACAGCATTGTCTACACCCTCACTGTGATGAATTTCAAAACAACTCAACTGCGGGCCACTTTGCCCGCCTTTTAATTAAAACTTGAGAAGTTCCTCTCAGCGTATATCATGTGAGATATGCTGCAGCTTGCCAGAATGTGTGAGTGACTGAAGAAGCCATTTGAAATCTGTTTGAAACTGATTTCGAGTCTTCCTGACCTCAGTCCAAAGGGCTCCCATTTCTCCTGAGGCAGTTACAATTAGTTACCAACTCACTAAGTTTATGGTTCCTAAATTGAAATATATTGCTCTTTAAAGCCTTCTCTCTAATTGTGTAGTCATTAATTGCTGATTCCCTATCTACACTGTGTTGATGGGCACATAAAAACTCATGGTGATAGATGAGCGCAAGTGCAGTTCACAAAAAAAAAAGTCAGGGTGTACGTCTTATTCATCCTCACCACCACTAGGAGGAGTAAAGTCCTCGGATAATTCTCTTTGGTAAAAGAAAAGATACAAAAGTCATTGTCCATAAGTAGAAACACATTTATTAGCCCACATTTACAATTAAATACAATCACATGAATTGGATGACAGACATAATGGCCTTTGCATGAGGGCAGTTCCCTCAAATCAGCCTAGACAGGAAGGAAAAAATATATTTCTGCAGTCATCTGGATGTTTGAAATGTTTTCACACACAAACAATTCCTCACACAAAGGCTGTTTGTACATATTAGCCTGAATAAGTCTGGTGGAAAAATCCTGAATACCTTTATTTATTTATTTATTTTTGGCCAAAAAAACCCCATCAAATAAAGACATGCTGAATGTTTTACATAGTGGAAAGACTTAATTGTGTGATTTAAGTGAGACTGAGGATGATTGGATGTTTTAATGTTCATTATGACAAATGGAGGGATCCGCTCTTTCAGTGAAATGTCCATTTCTGATGAGTTCTTCTAGAACAGTGATTGTGGGAAATTTCATCTGGTGAACAAGAAACTGAATAAAAAAAATTTGTTTAAAGTTCACAAGTAGGTGGTAATGCCTGGTACATTTCACTGTAGTTAATGTAAGCTAAGGTAAGTTCATGTTGACTGGACACTTTATATATGTATATTTTTTTCCATTAGTACATCTATCGACTACACAGCTTGTGTAACCAGGAAGTAGGTGCGATACTTGTATCAAACAATAAATAATCTTAAGAACAATGTTACTATTCTAAATGTTATGTATCTTTTTAACAACATCTTTGTTTACAGCAAATGTTTAGCCTAATAAGTACAGAAATTAATATATAATATTGTTTGAGCTGTCACATTAAGCCACGTATCATATCTATATGAAAAAAAATAGTTGGACTTTTTTCGCCTTTATGCCTGTTATTATATAATGGGCATAAAGCTTGTTATGAAAGCTTCAGAACGGGATGGGTCAGATGTCCCAAAGATCATTATAAACAACACCCTGGGCTATAAATCCCCAGGGTGGAAGGAACAAACACAGGACATAATAATAGACAAAGATGAGGGAGCGTACACTTGGATGAAAAATAGGGCATCGTGATTATGTGAGTCAGAGAGGAGCAGGGGAGCTAAGGGGGAATTGGATGCTATGCGTACTTTGTTATGGTGGCTGTTTAATTGTAGCAGTCATTTTGGCTTTGGAGCTGTTAATTGCTGATATGGAAATAGAAGTGTGCTATAAAAAAGCTCTTTAAGAGGAGATTGTTGGTGGACACTTGGAAATTGTATTGGATCGGAAGGGTGGGTGGGGGTGAGGTTGTAGACATTAATATGGTGCACTTTATGACCCTCCTCTCCCACTGTCTCCACCCTGTTTTCACCCAGAGGGCTCATTATTGTCAGAGGAGAGGAGCTGATCTACGCAGACACTCATATGAGAGCCGTCTGAAGGCATTAATGTGCACACACTCCCCCAGTGTGAATGACTAGAACCTATCATAAACAGCAGGAGCAGACCGTTAAACATGGCCGCTAGGCAGGTAGTCCACGCCCCCCCCCAGTCCCCCATCTTGTTCATGCAAACACACATTTGGTTCTTTTACATCTCTGTGCACCACTAATACTTGTCCACCTTCACTCACACATTGGCTCAAGGACATAGATGCACCCTGACACATGACAACCCTCATATGGTATCTGGAGGAAGTACATTGAGTAACTTAGTGCAATTATTCAAATGTATGAAGCAAGACTGACTCCACACTCCTTAGCAAAGCAGTAGAGAAAATATTATGTTATCTAACAGAGAAAAAAAGAAGAAGCAGATAATACAGACACCTCCGCTCTGAACCTTCCTCAGAGCTGGACCTGTTTTTTTTTCTTTTTGACAGATAAAGAAATTCATGTATTCTTGGATGACTGTACAACTGGAGCCATGCCCATGTTTGTTAGCCTATTTCAACAAATTCTTATGGAAAAAAGCAAAAACCAAACATTCTTATTGTTAAGTTATTTAAACCTGAAAAAAAAAGCTCTCAAGTAATTCAAACCAGAGTAAAAATATCAAACATGACTTGGATATTTGGAGGATAGTTTTGTAGCCATTTTTGGCTTCTAGTTTGAGAGTGAAGAAGAAGGAGGTCTTTCATTAGAACGGAATAAAACAGCCCACACATACATTGCTCTGTCCCTTGTTCCTAATGAGCTTTATCGCATTGGTCCCGCTTGACTTGTCTTGCTAACTGGCACACATATATCCATATGTTCCACATGAGCAAGCAGAGGGGACAGGCTGGGTGGCAGAACTGCTTTCTCAGTTACATCTGAGAGTTTTACTGCAACAGCCAGGAGCAACAGCAAGTCAGCTTAACTCCATGTCTGCTTTCCACGCACACGTGTGTGTGTGTGTGTGTGTGTGTGTGTGTGTGTGTGTGTGTGTGTGTGTGTGTGTGTGTGAAGTCTGTAATTAGTCCTGAGAAGTGTTAATAGTGTTAATAGCGTTAATAGTGCGCTTGTTCCTGATGTTCAACGAATAAAAAAGTTGAATCCAGACTTGAAAAGTTGAGTTGCCTGGACGATTAGCTGTCTTCATTGGTGAAGCTATAAAGACAGGCAGCATTCAAACACACGGACGTTTTACAGAGGTTAGGAAGGCAAGCCCCCCAAAAAGACTGACAAATAAATAAATATTGCAGCACAATAGGAAAGAAGTTTTGAGAAACTCAGTGGTGTGTTTAAAAGTATTACGTGTTGTATGTAGGCTGGTGTCCAGTCAGTGAAACAGATGAACACCAGTGTTCACCTGTACCTGTTACCATTTGTAGCAAGGACACAGAGAGAGCACGACACCATGTCACACTGACAGTGGAAAATTTGTATTTTAACTGGTTTTCTACATGCATAATGATTTTTATTAAGTTGTGACGATGATGCTGTAAATAAATGTAAATGTTGACCATTCAGAAACTGCAGAAACCCAGGATTATGTTTGAGGTTATTAATTTAGCTAGTAGTATTAGCTATATGAATTCCCAACCCAATACATTTAAGCATTTAGACTTCTACCCATCCTCTTCTGCTTATCCTTGTCAGGGTCGTAGGGGGGCTGGAGCCTATCGAGGCTACCACAGGTCACTAGCCTGGCGCAGGGCTAACACAGAGAGAGGGAGACGATTCGCATTCACATTCACATTCACATCTATGAGCAATTTAGATTCACCAACTGCATGTCTTTGGATTGTGGGAGGAAGCCGGAGTAGCCGGAGGGAATCCATGCAAACGCGGGGAGAACAGACATAACTCCACACAGAAAAAAACCCCCAGCCAGGTGGTGGAATTGAACTCAGGACCTTCTTCTAGTGAGGCGTCAGTTCCATCGTGTCACAGTGCTGCATTTAGACATAGTTAACCTAAAACTGCGGTTTGCCTTAAATGAAGTTCAAACTGTGTATCAGAATGAGGAAACGTGGTTATTTAAGTGATTTTAAGTGTGGCATTGTTATTGGTGCCGCTATTTTGGCACTTACAAATATGCAGTCTGTGGCAAACCCCTGAGTAAAAAAGCCTTATTGATGCCACAGATCAGAGCCTCTGATCTGATTCAGAGGAGAATGGCCAGACTGCTTTGAGCTGATGAACAGTAACCCGAATAACCACTTATTACCAAGGTATGCAAAAGAGCATACCCAATTGGAAAAGTCTAACCTTCAGGCAGGTGGGGTACACCAGCAGCAGACCACACTGGATGTCACAACTAAGAACGGGAAGGAGAATTAGGGCCATTCTGATGGCACAAGAGATCCAAGTCTCTATTGGGAAAGTCTAACTAATAAAGTTCAACTCACTGCTGAAAGCCCTTTAACTCAGAACAAACACTGAACAATGTGAAATAGCTGGCCTCTAATAAGACGTGTCATATTTAACTCAAACACAAATTAAAAGTGCAAGTAACATGGAGTAAAAAAGAAAACACATTTCTACATGTGTGGAAACGCATAGCAACATTTTGTGAGCATGTGCAGTTTCTAATGCAGGTTTGTGCCTGTGTGGTATGCAAATTATGCAACTTGGGATTGGGATACATCAAGACAGGGAAAACATTAAAGATTTTTTTTTAAAAGGTGTGTGTAAGAGTGAGCGTGGGTGTGTGGGGGGATTGAGCAACAGTGTCCTGATCATTTACTGACATTTATTTTCACACACACACACACACTACATTGTTCTAATAATAATAATAATAATGATAATAATAATAATCCAGGTTGATAGGTACAATGCCAAGACAAGGAATAAGTCTTTGGAGTGAGGTAAAAGTAAGCAAGAACTTACTCGTGAGAAATCAAGGAAGGGAGACTTTATTTCCACCCATTACATATTCAGTAGGCCTTAGCCTAATTGACCTTAAAATCAGACAGTTGTAAACAGATAAAGTTAAAAATGAAACATCAAAAAGTGAAAATGTGAACACTGAGCACACAGTTGGCCTTACGTATACCAATAAATACATTTCAAACTAAATGTGGAGAAACATTTTTTTCACAGGCTACACTAAAACCAAATGCGTGCAAAAACCATGCCATTAAACATCAGTAATCAACAATTCTTAAAATACTTAAAGGATATAAAAAGTCTTTAGTTAACAGGACAATAAAACTGTAAACAAACAAACGAAAAAACTAAATTTGTGTTGTCTGTTTTTCTGAAAAGGAAAAGACCTTTAGTAGAACACTATATTCCTCTCAAACCTAAAGTTCAGAAGCAATTTAATAAATAAATAAATTCAGAACAAACGTTCTGAGCTGTGGTTTCACATTAGCATCAAAAATTGTTCCCATGTCTGACAATACTAAGCTTTGACAAGTTTTGTTACAGACTATCTACACAAATCTCTGAGGCAATGAATCTGGCGATTCGGCTGGAAGGCACCATTGTTGGAAAGTAAGTCCACGGGGTCTGGCTTTGCTCCTGAATGTCAGAAGCACAACACCGATACGAAGACTGAAACAGACCCACAGAGTTAGTGGTAGGATCGACACTCGTGCGTCCTCTCATTTGGTACAATGTTGGTTTGAAGTCTAACAAACTGACATCTGTCCCACTCTTACTGTCACTGTGTGTGATTGTGTCTTTGTAGACCAGCGCTCCACACACACACACACACACACACACACACACACACACACACACACACACACACACACACACACACACACACACACACACACACACACACACGAAGCTGCAGTGAGAGCTCAGAGCTCGTCGTGGTTCCTGGTGAGGTCTTCTCCATAGTTAGTAGCCTGACTTCCCACAAACATGTTCCAGTTCTCGAGGATCTCCTCTTTAGTCAGCATCTGATCCTGATAAGGGAGATAGAACGTGTGAAATATGATGATTAAAAAAGCTCTTATTTAAATGTAAACAAAAACACTCTCCCGAAAGCAAAAAAACACTCAAGTGAAGAATTCTGCTGTGAACTGAAAATACACAAATACGAAATACACCAATAAAGAAAATTAACTTGTTTGCATGCCGTCTCTGTGCCTGCACTCTGGCGGCCCGTCCAGATCGTACACTTACTTTTGCCCTCTGTCGGCTAGGACGGGTTCCAGCTCGTACCCGGTGACTCTAATGAACCCTGTGTTGACAAGCTCTCACATCCACAAGGGCACAAGCAATAGATATGAAACCATATCAACATAGCTCTAACAGTATACCTTGTCCTGATCAGACTCGTACACCAGATGTCTGGCCTCCGCCTGTGCATGATCATAGTCCTGTGGCATGATCCAGTGACGGATTTCATCCTGGTCCATTTTTCCATCTTTGTTCAAGTCTCGGAAGTCAGAGAACTGTTCCCTCTCAGTCTTGACCCACTCTGGTTCTGGACCACCATCCTCATGTGCAAACATGTCCGCTGAAACCCAAAGAAATGATGAAAGAACATTTGAATAAGACATTTCGACATTTTTTTAGTTTGCATTTAAAGAGAACACACAATTTACACCTTAAATACACTCCTGGTATAAATTCCTACAGAAATGGCATACACACAATGTACACTATTTCACATGCAAGCTTTCCAAAGCAAACACCAATGACACTGAAGCTCTGAACCCTAACATCCATCTATAGTGGAGGTGAAGTTTAAGTCCTGTTATTTCGGCAGAGTTGTCATTTCAGTGCACTGATAGAAAAATCATCAACACTAAATGATTCATAATTAAAGAACTGTGCACACATAATGCTATCAAGAGGACATGTACATATTTCGTATTTCTAAAAAGAGCTGAAAAGTTCCTGCAAACTCCTGCAACACTTTAAAATCCACTTTTTCCAGTGATTAGGGGATTGAGGCAAATTGTTGAAATATTATATTATGCTCCTTATTCACATTCCTGTTCGTCTTTGTATGCTTCAAATTGTCAGTGTGTGTTTTAAAAACACTGAGTGGTATATTGTTAGGTTCTAAGTAGATGTTTGAGTGCTAACGGGTTTTTATTTTTTTACCAATTGCTTTCAATTTTTGAATTAACTCACCGATATACTCGTCCTCATCCACATGCCCGTCACTGTTCCTGTCAATGTCCTCCAAGGTTTCCTGCATAGAGAATGAGTTAATAATATCATTAAAGGAAGACACAAGGGTCCGTCAACTATAGAGGAACTTTCACTTTGAGTAATAGAAGAGAAACGTGCAGCCCTGGGGTGGAAAAGTGAATTTATAAGATTCTGCTCACAGCTGGGCCGGCAGAGTGACACAACAATACAGGACTACTGATGAGTTGCACTCAACAATGATTTACCCTTTTCAGCAAACACTTGGTTCCACTAGATTTATCTGTAACATACTGGATCTGACAGTATGTGAATTTGGCTAACTGGTTAATTAAAGGGAAGGGAGTTTAAGTATCTCAGGGTTTTGTTCGTGTGGGGGTGGCACTTGTAGTGATGTGGATGCTGTAGTGATCTGAACATGAAAGCAAAGCTGTCAGTTTGGTTCCTACTCTTACTTATGGTCACGAACTTTGGGTAGCAACCGAGAGAATGAAATCTTGGATACATGATGCAGAGACTATTTTCTTCCAAAGGGTGTTCGGGGTCCCCTTTACAGACAGGGCAAGCAGCTTGGCTGTTCTGGAGTTACTTAGATTAGAGCTGCTACTCCTACATCTGTGCAGGGTCAGCAAAAAGAGATTTTTCTCCAGTGTAGATCTTTAGAAACACTGAAAGGGTAAGATGTTCTCCGTTTTATAAGGATGCAAAAAGGACACGACAATTCACAGCAGTATAATCGGTATCATAATTAAAACCTATGTTCTGCTATAGAATCTTGTCTTTGCTTGGAAAATAACATAATGGGTTCAGCAATGAACTAAAGCATTTTATATGAGCTTTCTTTCACATCAAACAGTTTCAGATCACTAAAACTGACCCTTTCGTAACTCTTTTTAGGTTGAAATTCAGAAATTCTCTTAATGGTGTGTTACAAGGAAGAAATGAAGACCTACATAAACACCACCACATACATCCAAGTTTTGCTTCCTGACTAGTTTTCCCAAATTCCTAATCAATAACTATGCCTCCTTGATTATTCACATCTCTCTGACTTAACTACGACCGGTTCTGTTCTGTTTTCTTTGGCCAAATACATGTGAATGCTCATGGAAAGTGTTACGCTTCAGAATGAAAGATTTCTCGTCTGCCAAATTTAATCTACTATTCTTAAGGACTGGTATTGTTCCACGTTTGCAGTGTGCAGGAGCTCTCTGGTGCCAATAGTAGATGGCAGCAACACAAGCAGTTTGAAGGTAGAAATGTGAAGTGTGTGTAGGGTTCCAGTTGGCGCTTACCAACTTCACGTTCCTCCCTGATCCTGCACAGCAATCTCCTTCAGTTATTGTTCACGCTAGCCTACAGCCACATCCTTTCTAATGTTTTTCCTATGATCGCATGTACCATCAGTTACTCATTCGTTTGCATAGTTTTAGAAAGATCAGTGTTTCTGAAAAATTCATTGTAAGTATAAAGTATGAATGCAGCATGTATGTATGTGTAACTATCATGTTAGCTCTAGCCAGATTCACCACAATCAGTGAAGACACCCCTGGCTGAACCGTTCTTTGGTAACATTCAGCAACATCATAAAAATGAGAGATTAATAATTAACTCTGTCAAATGGGTAGTACAAATTTTATGAACAGAGCAGCATAGTGCATCACTGCTAACATTCGCCACCCCACATTCCACGAAGCCGAATTTATATTTAAAGATTGAGTTTTAAATGGGATGGTCGGTTTGTCCCACTGGACCTGTTCCCAAAAAAAAATATAGGAACTCAATCATTTCTGGGCCAAGTTAAAATTTCATTAGGAGGTTATTCAAATGTAGCACATTTATTTAAGTAGCGAGATCAAACACATGGAACAGAAACTCAAAACTCTTGGAATTAAATCATATTTCTTATTATTCAGACGTGCTCTTACTTTTGGGAACGTCACTTCTTTCAGGTCTGACGTGCGTACTCCTTACTTAAAGATCATGTGAACACAAAGGGCTTACCAGAACCACAATATCCTTCATGTGTTCGAACTCCTCAGGGTGGAGGAAGGCTGTGAACTCTTCTCTGTCTGCTGCCAGGTCCCTGTTCAGATCAGCTGCTTTAAACCTCCTCTCATCACGAGGGAGCATCTTCTTGAAGCTGAACTGGTCCGTGGCATCTTCAAATTCTTCCGGGTTGGCTAAGAGGGTGAAAAAAAAAAGATGAATAAAAAATGAATCAGGTTTAATAGCCATGTAATACTTTAATACTAAAAAAAAATAAAAAAATACACCATGTGTCTTGAACTAGTGAGCCCATACCGAGGTAGTATCCATATGTGGCTTGTTTGTACTCATCCCAGGAAATCTTATTGTCCTTATTCAGGTCATAATCAGTCCACACCTTGGCTACATTCTCATACACATAACGCTTCTGGACGCGCTTTATCCAAGCCTTGAGTTCAGCTGTGGTGATGTAGCCGTCTGCATCGCTGTCTATTCGGTCCACAATTTTTCTGTTGGGCAGGGGAAAAGACCGATATTAGTGGTATATTAACTAGATCTTATAGGCATATATAGGCAACATACAGTGTTGTGCAAAAATACTGACTCAGCCCCTCATTTCTTTATATTTTGGTTGAAAATATTTATTTATTGAAATGTGCAGAGATTTGCTGAAATTCAATATAGAAGGCAAAAATTGAGGTTTTACAATTTAACATAGGTTTCAGATACCGTTCATCTGCTGTAATTAGTCCTTTACAGGCCTGCTACTTCCTTTTTATTGTTCACAGATTGTCCACTTCGTGCTTTCTAACGCTTGAATGATTCACATTAGTGTTAAGTGATTAAACAAACAAACAGACAAAAATAAAAATGAAAATGAAAATAAAGGAATGGACTAAAAATGGGGGGGGGACAAAACAGATGTCCAAAGAAAAACTTTGAAAACCAATTAAATGTAAGAAGGAAAGTATAAAAGTAAAATATAGAGTGACCGAAGACTTTAGTAATGAGATACTGATTAATGACAGGCTGGATTAATAATTAATAAATAATTAATTTCCTACAGGTAATGTGGATTCATAGAAAGGATTTCTGAGGGAGGGGCAGGCAAACCCAGGTTAGAAAGCTAAAAACTGCAGTGCATCTGTGGTGTATTCTTAGACCTGGGCTGCCACGTTGTGATATTACAGGGGTCCTCCCTCTTTCAAGACAACAAGCAGGAGTTTTATGGACTAACTTGCGTCACATGGTGCCAACTTGTCACTGCAGCAGTGGCAGAAGAAAAAAAAAAAGTTTAATACTTGAAGAATCCTGCCAACAGAACCAAGTGGCACACTGAGCGTGCCCTGCAGTTTTGTACAGAATACCTACATGCAGAACTTCGGCCATTAAACTTTCCTTAAACTTCACCCCCATAAATGAATCTTTAATGAGTATTTGTAATTAAGATTTCTGCAGACTATTAAGTGTACAGTGTGTGCAAACAGTATGGGTGCCATAATAAAGCAGGAGTGCTTTCACAGGCACATGTTCCCATGTTTTTAAATGTTTAGTGTTCTTAGTCTGAACAGTTACACGAAACGGGCTTCAGCGGCAGAGTGTGTGATTTAAAACAAACAAACAAACACAAAAGCTCCAACCTGTCCTTCGAAATCCCACCAAGCCTGTCACTAACTTCACTTTCAGATACCAAAAATCAGCTTATGTGGCAGAGTGCTGGTAGCATTTCCTTACCCGAGCTTGTCCTTGCTCTCTTCAGGGGTGAGCTGATCAAATGTTTTGGCCTCCTCTTTGCCCAGAAAGGCCTCATGGTCATACTGGAAGCTCTTATTGTCTTCGTGGGCTTGCCTGCTTAGCTCTGGCTCATGATGAACTCTCTCTTTTCTCAGCGTCGGCTTGGTCTGCGCCACAGCGGCGCAGAGGAGCACAGCGCACACGAAGCTGAAGCCGGCCATCAGTCGGGGTTCAAGCTGACTTCTCTCAGAAGGCACAGCGATCTCCGAAACGGGCCTACAACACCACAACACACAATGATCAAGCGGCTGTGTAGCTCCTTTCACTGCTGGACCGCTAAACGCCGACTTTTTGTCCTGTCTTCAGCGGCGGAGCGCAACAATGTTGCAGCAATGTTCAAACACCCTCAAAACGCAACCTGCGCCCGCAAACAGGTCCTCTCTGAACACCTACACTCCTCCCCGGTTTAGTCAATCCTGTCCCTTATCCCAATGAAAGGGATGCAACCAAACAGGGATTTCCTGCCGCCTTACGTACAGCCATTCACAGACTCCGTTTGATTCAGGCCCCAGCCTCAACCACTGCCAGAATATCCCCCATTGGTCCACGGGATGTCGGTAACACGAGAGGGATTCCGGCGCCACGTTGCAAGCTGACGAACTACCAGAGCAGGAGAATCAACGTGGGTCAGCGAGCAACCAGTGAGAACGGGAGTAACACACACAGTTTTAGGGAACTATTTAAGTGTTTTCTGCCAACTTGTAATAAGGTGCATTTGAAATGAAAAGGCTGTGTGCACACAGCTACGCTGATGTACAGGGATATAAATAAACCATTGCTGTCTAAAAAATCATCAGTCACAAGTATGCAGCTCGCTGCTTCAGTGTAAAACGTTTAAAGTAAAACATGCTGGAACTGATTTCAGTGTTTGATGTTTGTTTGAGGGTAAAGTTCCTTGAATCCGTAAAGTATGCAATACTATAGTATTATACGAGTACTGCTTACTGGATTTAGATGGATTATTCTATATGTTAGTTGCTATAGAACTGAATGAATAACTGTGGCATCATGACACAGTTAAAGTCTTGCTAAGATAACAGCTGTGGAATATCTTTGAGTGTGTTAGTGTGTCTGAGAGTGATGGAGAAAGTGAAGGATGGCAGGGTAACTAGTGGGAATGTTATGTACTGGCCATGCACTATATTTAGTAATAAAAAGACAACATATCCTATCAGATGTTGAAACTGGGACATTTAAAAAAAATGCTGATTTTAACATGCTTTCAGAAACATATTTCAAAAGACTTAAGCATCTGGAAGCTGAGGAGGCCAATTGCTTTTGTTACATTTTGTATTTCATAATCCCCAAAACGTTTTCAGTGGGTGAACGACAGGCAGGCCGGTTCAGCACCCACTGTCTTTTACTCTTGTAATCATGTGCAGAATGTGGTTTGGCAATGCGTTGCCTGAAAAAGACAAAGCCTGGATGGCAGCATATGTTGTTCCAAAACCTGATTTATCGTTCATCACTGATAATCCCTTCACAGATGTGTGTGTCACTCGTGCCATGTGCACTAATGTATCCCCTTAATGCCCTTTAGTTTTTAAACTGCTTTCTGGAAACGAGTTGGATGGTTAGCTGAGAGGATGTAGCCTCTATTATTTCTTTTGTTGAGTAGAGAATATAGGTATGTATGTATGTATGTGTATATGTATGTACAATACCAGTCAAAAGTTTGGACACGCCTTGTGATTTAATAGTTTTTCATTATTTTCACGACTATTTACATTGTAGATTCTCACTGAAGGCATTAAAACTATGAATGAACACATATGGAATTATGTCGTAGTAAATAAAAAAGTGTGAAATAACTCAAAACATTTTATATTTTACATTCTTCAAAATAGCCACCCTTTGCTTTGATTACTGCTTTGCAAACTCTTAGCATTCCCTCGATGAGCTTCATGAGGTCGTTACCTGAAATGGTTTTCCAACAGTCTTGAGAAGTTCCCAGAGATGCTGAGCAATTGTTGGCCCTTTTGCCTTGACTCTGCGTTCCATCTCATCCCAAACCATCTCAATCAGGTTTAGTTCAGGTGACTGTGGAGGCTAGGCCATCTGGAGCAGCACTCCATCACTCTCTTTCTTGGTTAAATAGCCCTTACACAGCCTGGAGGTGTGTTTGGGGTCATTGTCCAGCTAGACGCAAACCGGATGGGATGGGATGTCGCTGCAGGATGCTGTGGTAGTCATGCTGGTTCAGTGTGCCTTCAGTTTTGAATAAATCCCCAACAGTGTCACCAGCAAAGCGTCCCCACACCATCACACCTCCTCCACCATGCTTCACGGTGGGAACCATGCACATAGAGACCATCCGGTCACCTTTTCTGTGTCGCACAAAGACACGGCGGGTGGAACCAAAGATCTCAAATTTGGACTAAAGTACAGATTTCCACTAGTGTAATGTCCATTCGTTGTGTTTCTTGGCCCAAACAAATCTTTTCTGCTTGCTGCTTTTCCATAGCAGCTATTTGACCATAAAAGGCCTGATTCACATGTTCTCTGAACAGTTGATGCAGAGATGTGTCTGCGACAGGAACTCTGTGTGGCATTGATCTGGGCTCTAATCTGAGGTGCTGTTAACTTGCGAATTCTGAGGCTGGTGACTCTGATGAATTTATCCTCAGCAGCAGAGGTGACTCCTTCCTTTCCAGGGGTGGTCCCCATGTGAGCCAGTTTTGTCGTAGTGCTTGATGGTTTTTGCTACTACACTTCAAAGTTTTAGCAATTTTCTGGACTTACTGACCTTCAGTTTTCAAAGTAATGATGGACTGTCATTTCTCTTTACTTAGCTGATTGGTTCTTGCCATAATATGAATTTTAACAGTTGTCAAATAGGGCTGGCAGCTGTGTACCAACCTGACTTCTGCACAACACAACTTATGGTCCCAACACCATTAGGAAAGCAAGAAATTCCACAAATGAACCCTGACAAGGCACGCCTGTGAACTACTTATCAATTTTTTTCTTTGCTACATAATTCCATATATCTTGTGTCATGTATTTGATGTCATCAGTATCTATCTGCAATGTAGAAAGTAGTAAAAATAAAGAAAAACAATTAAATGAGAAGACATGTCGTAGTGTTGGAGTGTTGGTGTTGGAGATTTTGTCAAATCAATGGATCTGACATCCATCCATCCATGGATAGCCCTCCCCAGAGCCTGGACCTCAACATTTTTGAGGCAATGTGGGATCATCTTGACCGAGAACAGAACAAAAGGCAGCCAACATCCAAAGAAGAGCTTTGAATGTCCTTCAAGAAGCCTGGAGAACTATTAATGAAGACTACTTCAACAAATGAAAAGAAAGCTTCTGTATGAGAGCTCAGGATATGTTGAAGAACACTCTGGTTTTGTTTGTTTGTTTGTTTTGTTTTTTGCCTCAGATACACTATTTATTTCCCATTTTCCTAAAACAGTATAAAGTATAAAGACGTGTGAGGCTGATTCAACACTTTTGCACTGTAGATTTTAGTATTTACTTAAATTAGTTTAGGTTTTAGTAATTTTAGTTAAAGTAGTTTTTAAGTTAATTTTTTTCATTTTAAGAAATACGGAGCATGGGTTTTGGATCATTAACAATATCTGAGAATGTGGAAAGTTAAAAGATTGCTTCAACTACAGATAACTTCATAAGTCAATGCGAGAGTGTGAAGTCGTCCAGTTTAGTTGAGTCCTAGCGATATAATGTTTCGAGATAGAGGAAGAGTTGGTGTAGGGAGGAGTGTGTGATCATATCCACGTGAAGAAAACGAAAAGAATCACATTACTGAGCCCCATCTCAACATGAGGTAATATGGAAGAACAGACTCTGTACCCTGGAAACAACTTGCTGACACTGCCATGCCTAATCCTCCTTTGTGGGCAGGAGAAACATGTATTTTGCCATTCATCATTAGCATAATAAGCCAGCACATGGCACTTTGCTGTTTTGCATAAACAGTACACCCCAGTTTATGATTATAAAGAGGCCCTGGGGCCAACTAGCCTCTTTATTCAATTAATGAATAGTTAATGTATTTAAATTAGTCCTGCCTGGTCAATTTGAATCAGTGTGCTGTGCAGACATGAAGAAATACAAATGTGCTTTCCCAAAGAGATGCATTTCCTAAAGATACATATGGATATACAAGAATACAGAATTTTCATCTTGGTGATGATGATGGTCTCAGCAGGATAGATAGTTGGACCCTTTCATTAACTTTAGATCACACAGCAGGGGCAGATTTTTAGGTGTTACCTGTATGCTGAACACTATACTCTCAAACAATGGTAGCATGGCTGAACAACAGCGGGCATTAACATGTTGGAAGGAGAAAGTGGATGGCAAGAGTGGCTTTCAACATGAATATTTCACCAAGGAATAGAACGGGGAGGGGGCTGCAGCTACGGGCGTGTTCAGTTAACCATGAGATTGCACACACTGCAGAATGCATTTGGTTAATGTAATTAAGAAAACCCTATGGTGGGAGACACAGAGCATTAGTGTCCAGAAAATTCAGTTCAGTTGTGGCCTCTTTTTGCCCTGTGCTTACAGACACACACTGCATTTATCAGATTTTTGATCTTCTTTTGGTGCGACAACAGTTTTGTTAGTTTGATTAAGCAACAACAATTAATCAGCGCATCTGAATAATTAAAGGGTTATAAATAACTGAGATCGTGCACAATGGAAGTGAGTTTGACAGTAAATATGATTGTAGTTCTTTTTTTTTTTAATCGCTGTTTACTGTATACCTGAAGTCATGCCTGCAACATTTCATTTACTAGTATTATCAAGTATCTTCTTTAAGCTTTTGAAGACAGAGAAGCTAGAAACTTGTCGATGTTTGCTTTTTAATGTCCTTTTCCCCCTTTTTTGTTGTCTGTCTTTCAGTTGCAGCTCAGGACTAGGTGGTTCTCTTTTCTGTAACTCTGAGCCACAAAGGCGACAAAAAACTAAATAAATCAAATAAAACAATGCAGACTTATGCAATGATTTTAATGTTAAATGAGGAGCCTCATGTTGTATTTCGCTAAGACACAAAAACTGAGAATGTTGCCAACATGAAGATTATGAGAAAGAACTGAGCTGTACTCCCACTCACATAAAAGATTGATCGTGCTGTGGCGTCACTCATTGGATAGTGAAGCCCCGTTATGAAACGTCAAGCTGAGCGCGTTCAGCGTCCTCATCTTGGTGTTTTGAAAGTAGATGGGATCAGCGCGAGGTGGAACTGAGTTGAGGATACCACACCCTCATTGGTTTCTTGTTTTATTCAGTATGACCTGAAACTACCGACTGAGGCCGTAAAGTTGTCAGGAAAGTGTCGAGGGCAGGTTTTACATGGATTTCTCTAGAACCGGGATTCTTTTATGGAAGAACAAAAGAGTCACCCCTCTGCTGATCATTATAAGAATGCTGGTTTAAAGCACTTCCACACTGGTTTTTCAGACCCTGAAGCTATTTTAAGTTATCTGTGGATGTGACCTTGTGTGAAGTTGCCCTTTCTCACACATAGTGTCAGACAGTTTCTCAC